TCTGTCTGTTTAGATATCTGAAGTCATATTAAAAACTATCAGAATTTTCTTTAACATGACTTTCGATCTCTAAGCTTGCAGATATCAAGTTTGTCTAATCAAACAATGTACACCTATAATGTTTATAGTATTAAGAAATAGCCGTAATACAAGCCACAAATAGTCGCAATATATACCTCTATGCGTGACCAATACTTTCGGCCTTGTGTCACATCTAAGCTACGCTTGGAAAAAACATATATATATATATATATATATATATATATATATATATATATATATATATATATATGTATGTATGTATGTATGTGAGTGTTTTAAAATACAAAACGTGAGTGAGCAGGCAAATGGAATTAGATATCTACCCTAGGCTCTATAAATTGTCTTGATGCAATTAAGATTAAGAAAACAAAAACAAATGGTTATTATAGATTTTTATATTATATTATATTATATTATATTATATTATAGACTTTTGTGCCCTTATAAACCTACATGAATCAGCATGTAATCCAGCATATGGATCACTTGTTTCATACAAGAATTAGAAACTCCATCTGTAGATGCTTAGCTGAAAACAATATGGAAATTCTTGGGAATAACGCCATTACAGTTTCTGAGATTTTTTGAAGACAAAGGTTATATTTTTCTTTTCTTGTTTTTGTTTTTTTTTTTTTGTACTAAAATTCACCCAATAGGCTAGACAACCAAGGTCAAGGGTTACTGTTAAAATAGTTGTGATTAATGGGATGTGTGATATGAATGAAAGAAAGAGTAAGTAGAAAGTGAAGATTATGAGATAGATAAAGATTAACCCTTGACTTGAAGAATTTATGACCGAAGTTTTCGAGAAAACGTACACGCGGATGTCTGTTCTACAAAATATTTGATTGGAAGAAAGGTTCTTACAGTTTCTGAAGAAATTAATGTCCTAAGAAATTAGAGAACTTTCCTTCCAACCAGATAACAGTTTTTTGGACAAAGGTGAGTAAAACGTTCTTCTTACATTTAGAAAAAGCCTAACCCTCTCTAGGCTGGTTTGAATTCAGATTTTTCCTTCCCCTAGACTGACTGCCAATCAAGATAAAAGCTTGGCAGAAAACGGGTACTTCCTGAAGAGGTAGATTCTCTAACTTTGTACATCGACTAAACAATAGCTGTAAGACGCTCCTGCGCATTACACCTCCACCCCACTAAAAATTGTAGGTTTACGGCCACATCACGCTGAAACATTAGTTCCCCCACGATCACCGAAGCAACGTCGAGTCTGGTTAGTACTTAGATAGGTGACCCCCTTGGGAATATTATATGCTATAATCTTGGTGTAATGGATAAATGGTAATGGATAAATTGTTAATCAGAGAGCCGAGTTCCAATTCCGGTTGGGTTCGTTATATTTAATTACGCGCAAATACCCTTGGGAAAGGCATGAATCCACCTCTCCTCCCTCCAGTTATGGCTTATATAATAACAATTGTATCACTAAATCATTATTATCTCCAAAAAATATTCTTACAATCTAAAAATATTTTCTGGCTTTAAATAACCTGCAAAGGGTTGATAAGCTGTAGAAAACGAATTATTCAGTCAACCAACTAGATTTTGAAGGAAGAAATCGGAATAAAAATGGTTTCTTTGTAATTCATAGCATCCCCCAAGACTACCACCACCTCCCCCACTATACCCTAGTTTTGCCGACTGAATAGCATATTTCAGTTTGAAAACCTGACTAGTCATGACAAATTCATCACAGTCCGAGAAGAAGTACCAAATTTATGGTAACTATTTAAAATGTAATAATTGGAAGTTAATTCGCATCATCGACATTTCGGTTTATAGGACGCAGGGTGGTTTTGGCAGATATTTTATAGGGAAAGAAAAACGCGTCTTATAAACAGCAAAATACGGTAGACCAAACAAATTTGTAAAATCTTCTTTCATTTTGTTGTTTTTATTGCTTCTAATCCTCAATGTAAATAAACGAGTAAGAACTCAACTCATTCCGAATTACTAATTTTTATCGGACAATTTCATCAGAATTTCATGGCCTCCTTAATCCTTGAAAGAGATTATATCTAGGAGGGGCGGATGTAAAGCGAAATGTTAATTAATTGATATTCATCTGAGAAAGTCCTCACTTATCGCATAGCAATCATTATTATTATTATTATCATTATTTTTATTATTATTATAACTGAGTGAGAGAGAAGCATGCCAAGAAAGTATCGCTTGGGTACAAAGATACGAAGCCTAATATGCAAATCATGTCACCCAGTCAGACAAAAGAAAATAAGGTACGTGCATCACAGCCAAATGTACGCGATATAATGAGAGGTTTCGATAAAAGCAGTGCATACCTTGCAGATTAGGTCCAGTTAGAAATACCTTCAGATCGGGTAATACAATCCGCTCATATGGACTCCGATTGAGGATGTTTCCACAGGTTTTGATAAAAGCAACGCGTATATCATTGCAGATGATGTCCAGTTAGAAATACTTACAAATCGGGTAATACAGTCCATTCAGACGGTCTCTGATTGAGGTGTCCCCACGAGTTTTGGTAAAACAGCGAATAACCTTGCAGATGAGATCCAGTTAGAAATACCTACAGATCGGGTAATACAGTTCATCTGTCCTTTACGGCAGCGAACGGTGGACGATTTCCTCAAAGATGAGTCGGGAGATATGGTTCTACAGAAGCATGCTAAGGATACCATGGACCGAGCATGGGAGCAACGATGAGATCTTAGAGAGGATGCAAACAAGGTGGAGGCTTACACTTAATATTAGGAACAGGCAGCTGAAGTTTCTGGGACACATAATGAGGAAGGAGGGCCTGGAGAATCTGATACTCACGGGTCGAATAGAGGGAAAGAGAGACAAGAGAAAACAACGCAATTGAGCTATATCAGCAAGTACCTTTTTATTTTGCTCAAGCTAAATCTTAATATCTGTCTATATTTATGAGATGAACTATTGTAACTATTTACACTATTTACTATTGCACACATTTTTATTGCCATCTCCACGACGTTTCGGTCGTTGTACGCTCTGGCCGTCTTCAGGTGATATATGTTGGAATTTCGAACCGAACTCTTTATTTAGTTCCCGGGAGTAGGATTTACTAATACCACGTGCCATGCCTTTTTTTTTCAGTATCAGTTAATTCCATTTCGTAACGTAACTCTCCAAGTCGTTGTTCCCCCTGCTGTGGCCAGGTATTGAACTCACAAGTCTTTGAATCATGTCACTTTTTGAATTACTCAACAAACGCTTTTAGAAATTGTTTATTGAATATTGCTTGTTTGATTTTAGAAACTTTTTTTCTTTAGGAGTACATATTTTTAATATAGATTTTATTAATACATTACATATCTCCAAAGAAAATCGTATACGTATCTTTTTTACGCGCCGTGTCCCTTCAGGACGTAGGCGATCATGGCCCTCCACATCTTCCTGTCCCTTGTAGGTCTGTCCTTTCGTTATTTCTACCATCCATTTATCATTATGTATGTTTTCTGCTGCTTTCCTCTGTCCCTCTTTACCTCACTCTGTCTTGTGAGTATCAGGTTTTCCAAGCTCTCTTTCCTCATTATGTGTCCCAAAAATTTCAACTGTCTCTTCCTGATGTTAAGTATGTTTTCTTTTTGCTCAACACTCTCAGGTAGAAAATAATTTCCAGACTACGACGAATAATTCTAATCGAATAAAAACAAACTAAAGAGAAAATGCCTAAATTGTTCTATCTTGATCTTTGTCTTATTTTAGAACTACCAGGTGAAACAATCGAATGATCCGAACGGCTTTATATAATCGACGAAGACGAACGAATCAACGCTCGATAAAGAAAGAAAATGACAAAGGAATGTAATAAATGCCAAGTTTATATCGAATGAAATCTGAGGATGGAATGGCGGGGTGTATTTATTTTTTTTCTTGAAGTTCTGTCAGAGAAACTGGAATTTGTGTTAAAACTACGTTTAACATATGCAATGGAGATGTTACTTCACAGCAACATCTCCATTGCATATGTTAAACCAAAATATCAGACATTCCGAACTATAACAACGACATGAAATAGCAACCAATGTTTATCGACAGATGTTAAAGATCTAGATACATCCCCAGAGCAAACATTAATATTTTGTGAGAAATGTAGCATGGGTCATCTGTTAAATGCAAAACATTTTAACTGAGATAGATAGATAGATAGATAGATAGATAGATAGATAGATAGATAGATAGTATACGGAAAAAGAAAGAAAGAAAGAAAGAAAGAAAGAAAGAAAGAATAATATACAGGATAAAATAAAGGATAGGATAGAATACAGAATAAGATAAAGAATTAGACAGACAGATAGATAGATAGATAGATAGATAGATAGATAGATAGTATACAAAAAAGATAGATAGCATACGAAAATAGATAGATAGATAGATAGATAGATAGATAGATAGATAGAGTTTTGTATCAGAATGTGAACATCAGGGGATATTTGATATCAAGGCGATGTTATGATCTTAATAATTGCTATAAATTTTATGATATAATATAAACAAGTAACTTTCTTGTGACTTGTACTAAAAGCGTCCTGGTGTGCCTTGGATATATTTCAGTTCCTCCCAGAAAAATGGGACAAAATTGAAATACAATGTTTGACTAATTTTGCGCAGATTAAACATGGATGTTCTTTTGCTATTGTTCTAGCTCTTAAGACATGGACAACTGATTGATTTATTACGGCTTATCAACCTTTTGCAGGTTACTAAACCATAAAATATTTTTAGAATATAATTTTTTTTTTTGCGGTGCAGATAATAATGATTTATTGATATACGTCGTACTAATTAACCCATAGTTGGGGGAGAAGAAGTGAATTCATACCTTTCCAAAGGGTATTTGCTCGTAAGTGAAGATAACAATCCTGACTGAAATTGGAATTCGGTTTTTCGATTTCCAATTCCAAGCAGTTATCCATTGCACCGCCTGCACATCCAAGTCTGCAACACCTAGTATTCCCAAGTAGTTACCTATCTAGTTACTGACAAGGCTCGAGATTGCTTAACTTCGGTGATTACACGGGAAACGGTATTTTAACGTGATATGGCCGTAAGACCAACACATGGATATAGAGAGTGGGGTGATAAGACAGCAAGGAAACGGGATAGTTTATTGTAATTTATGGGTCAGTTTTTTAAATTTGGTGAGACCTGTCTGGAGAGACTAAATCAAGATTGGACTGAATAAGAAGGAAAAATAATTCTGTCTTTGATTTCTAACTAGAATCTACCTGCCATGTGACGTCATATCTTTTTTATCTTCTTTCCTTCAGATGCAAATTATACAAGAAATAGTTTCGATAAGAATATTATCATTTTTTTTTAAGCATTTCATCCCAAGTAAGGCGGGTGTGCCACTAGAAACTATGAAAGGTACCGAAGAGGAAAGCAAAATTTATTTGCATGATAATACAAAATGTGGCACAAGGCCTAAATGAGGGATAGGAGAAGGCTGGTCTTCAATCTGGCTTATCTTAAACTTATCTAGCCACAATTACTGAGCCAAACATACCACAGTATTCCTTACACCAAAACAACACATTCTTACTTACCATTCTTACTACAGCCACCATAATACCTCAAAGTCTCTGTGAAGTCCTAAGTAGTTCCCATATTTACAATTTGTCTTGAGCTGGGGGTAAGAATAAACAAAAAGTTCATCAGAACAATTACCTTAAATGTGTTTATAGAAAAATCACAGAGGATCTAGATTATAGCGGTGGTAAAGTGACTGAAGCCGAGATCTGGTTCAATTACATCGCAAATTCTTTCTTTGGATTTTATAAAAAATCTCTAAATATATAGCAAGAGCGCCAGATCATATGTGGCTGCAATATTCCAAGCATGGACGAATAGTAGACATATAAATAAAGGGTGTTCCAGTAACTTGGACCGATTTTAAATGTGAATTAAGTTTAAGCGTCTAATGATTTTTTCTTTTTTTGTTTCAGATTTGGCAGACATTTGGGCAATATTATTTTTCACACATAATTGCCATGACTTAAATAACATGATCCAAGAAAGAAAGAAATAAATTTGCTCTTCTTGATCCCCGTCCTTGATCTTGATGCCTTGGTCTTGATCGCCATCTTTCTCTTTATCCTTTCCTCTTTGCTCTTGCCTTATCACGTGTGCCACGTGTGAAAGTAAGAGCAAAGAGGAAAGGATAAAGAGAAGGACGGGAGTCAAGATCAAGGCATCAGAAGATGTCGATTGACATTACACTTGAATATTTTAAGATTAGAGCTATCAGGGAAGAAAGTAAGAGGAAGGGAGTTCCACTGTTGGGAAGTGCGAGAGAAGACACTGTAAAAGTAGAAGAAGTGGTTACATTTAACTGTTTCAACAGTGAAAGAGTGGGACCGAGATGCCAACCTAGTAGCACGCTTAAATTCATGCAGTTGGTGCATCAGTGAAAATAATTCGTTAGAACAGTTGCCATGAAAATATTTGTAGAAAAGACAACGGGAAGCCACATCAAGTATGTGAGAAAGTGATTGTAGTCGATATGCCAGGTCAGGACCTATCACATTGCATATCCATATAAGTTATTTTCTTTAAAGTTCCCACTTATAAGTAGCGCGCACGCCGGGTTGAATATCTATGAGTTTGAGTCATAAATAATTTCCGGTTTTTGTTTATCAGTTTCATACTTCAAAATAATAAAATGCAGGTACAATCTATTCCATTATATATCCAGTATTATCTGCGGGAATAGACCTTCTAGAAGATATCTCCCTGACGATATTCAGTCACCCTCCCCCACGAGGGTGTCATGTGGCACAAGGCCTTTTTAACGTGGGCTTTCCGAGCCATTAAGCTCGGTCAAAAAATAGCCCATTGAACCCGTATAAACGGGTTCAGGGCCGGTCTATCTCCCCGAAGGAGACTCCGCCCTTCGGCGTAGCCTCCTTCGGGTTCCTCCCGCCCGTAGGAAGAGAGTATAACCGAACAGTCCCTCAGAAATATGCTACATTCGAATTTTTTTTTTCTTTGCAGATAATTGTTAGTAACTTGAAATTTCTCAAGCCATAATGTCTCGCACAGAAGAAACTTCAACTGGAAGAAAAAAGAAAAGAAATTCTTTCACGTTACGTCAGAAATTAGAGATTATTGAAAAATTGCTCCTAATTCGTTGAATTTGCAAATTAACAAACAAAGATTGAAGAATCTGAACGAAGCACTAAAACTTGCTGTTGAAGATGATCCACTAAAGACTCTTACTTCGGATTACTTAAATGAATGGATAAATGAAGACGCTAATGAATTACTAAAGAATTCAACGGTAGAATCGCTTCAAAATGATTTGGTCTGTGAAAAAATAGAGGAAGAATTAAATTCTTTTAATAATAGTGAAAATATGAAAGATGATGAAGACTGAGACTCAGGAAAGAAAGCTATTGATGAGTAAATCAAATTCATGTTAAGTAGTACAGAATGTCTTAAAAAAAAAACTAGAACAGCGAAATGAAAAAAGAAATAAGACAATTGAAAATAAAACTTATTGAGCATTAAACATTGGAAATTAATATTTACTTTCGTGGGACACTTCATTTCTAATATATTACGATAAGTTCTTGTGTTTTGTTAAGTTATAGTTATATTCCACATGCCACATTATATGCGAACCCGTCCTCATATTCGAACGACTTTAAAGTTCCGATATGAGGACTTCTACTGTAGTTGAATTATGTCATGGTCAGTTGCCATTAGTAACGGCTGTAACAAAAGGAATGTAGGTTAATGTTTCGGTGAACATCGTTGCTAACATGTGTCGTGTATATGTCGACATCATCATCATCGTCCTTTCTGTCTTTTAGTTTATCGCTCGTGAAACACACTTAAGGGTCAAACAAAATTAAAGAAAGAAAGAAATTTGCATCAAAGCCGAGAGTAAAGTTTCCTAGAAACGTAGGCTCCCCACTTGAAAGGTCGCAAAAAGCTCATCCCTATGACGTCATCGTATACGGACGAAACGAAACGAACGAAAGAAGTTCACAGATTTCTCAGTTCAAATGTTACTAATTAAACCATCTGAATTCTAATAAACAAAGCAGTTGACCTCCGGACAGAAAAGGAAGATATTTCTGCCATTTTCACTGGTGTAACAATTTTTTTTTTTTTTTTTTTTTCACTGTTTCGAGATTGTGTTCGCTGCGTAACAATTAACATCGCGGAAATTGGAAATTAGTAAAGCAATTTCAATTTCGATCTATTGCTTTCCGTTCACACTGATATTTTTTACTTAACGATTTACCCCCCACCAAAAAAAAAAAGCAAGTCGAATTTGCCACTAAGACGCAAGGCCAGGAAAGAAAAAGAAAACTTTATGAGAAGGAACCGGGAACCCTGTCCTAAACAGTGAGGTTCTACTCCTGTTCAAAAGACAAGGAAGGAGTGTGAACCGGGTGAAATATCTAGAAAAAGCATGAATCTATCTCTTATCCACCAGCTATGGGTTAAATAGCATTCTAGCCTTCCGTGTCAACCAGTCTAGGAGAAGATCAGCTCTGGATTAAAAAATCTGGGAATTGCAACAGGAAATCACTCCACTATATTTCCCAAGTAATGACACTACACAGGTAATAAAGAAAACCATTCTATGGAGAGCTATGATTGCTTACGTCCAAAAGGAGTCCTGGGTATGACGATAAACTACATGCAGCAGCAAGGCCTCAGATCAGGAAATTGAAGGTTTTGAAGAGCCTGGAACCACCTGTTAACTTCTGTTGTTCCCAGGTCGAGCCAGACCCGGTGTGGTAGCAACTGTGGGCAAATAGTGAAGACCCCCAAACAAAAATCAAAACGTATTTTTATAGTAAAATATACCAAAAATACATTTCTATAATAAAAATGCCAACAATACATTTTTGTAATGAAATTGCTAGCAATACATTTCTATATTAAAAAATGATACATTTTTATAGCAAAATGACGAGTAATACATTTTATAGTAAAATGGCCAGCAATGCATTCTTATAGCAAAATAACCAACAACACATTTTTTAAATTACCAACAATACATTTTATCATCTACAAACTGTATATCTTAAAACCTACGTTTGCCCTGAATGTTTAAAAATATGTACAAAATATCTGTAGTTGCATAAAAATGCATTCAAAATATTTAGATTTCGGCATTAAATAACCCATAGAGATTGCTATGCTGTTAAACAAAATTAGCCAACCACTCAAAGTCCTGAAGGAAGAGGACATTAAAAAACAAAGATGATAAACTTGGATTTTTTTTATTTAATTATATATGACTAAGGACTCGACACCTAACCTAAATTATTATTTTCAGCCTCAGTTCATAGTTTTATGAAGACCTGATAACCCTAACTCCTTGACGTATTTTTTGGATCAACGTTTGTGATTTTATCTTCTGAGGCATGCATGTTTGAAGGTTCTGCAGTTAGTACAACAGCCGTGGATTTGTTTCAGTTCCTCCCAGAAAATTGGGACAAAATTGAAATAGAATGTTTGACTAATTTAGCGCAGATTAAACATGGACAACAGTGGTAATCAGCGAGCCGACTTCAAATTCTCACCTTACCTGTTACATCCACTTTCACACAGATGCTCTTAGGAAATACATGACTTAATATCTCCACCACCTCCTAGACTATAGGTTAAATAGCAGGATGCACTGGACTTCGGTAGTAATTAGTCTAAGAGAAGGAAAATTATGATTTTAAAATCGTGGAGAAACCAGCGAGAACCAGTCCACTATCTTTCTGGAGGGTAATGACACGTCACATAAAATCCAAAGTGGATAAGGCATTAAAAAATGAAATTTAGGACAATTCATAAGATTTTTTTTAAAAAATACTTTCTTTTGACGAAGTTAATATCTGCTTAACATTACCGGTATTTAGTAACAGCTAATTTTATTCCAAAGGATTTTACAAGCACATAGATTCAAAACACGTAAACAAATGAAAATACTAAAGAATGATCTCAGATTATTAAGTTGCCATTTTACTCAGCTCAGAAACGTTATTGCGTGAGCCACAAATTTGCTTCAGGTATCATAAATTTAAACCAATTCTTT